TCTCTTAGGATCCTCCACAGGTACCTATACTGTAGATAGGTCTTAGTCATCAGGTCTACTCCACTTCCTTGTTGCCTGCTTAGACTCTTGGCACTCTTAGGTGAGCAGACTTAGTCAGCCTGTGTTGCCCTAACAAGATCACACTTCTCTTGTTTACCTCAAGCAACAAAAGGTTGTCACTTGACGCCTCGCTCAGTGGATTGAAGAGTTCTCCATGATGGATGTGAAGATCATCTATCAGAAAGGAGTAGAGAACACCATTCCAGATGTGCTCTCAAGGATGAGAGACAATTTCAAAGGGGGAGAAGGTCCAGATGTTACTGAAATTGCGGCATTGGACTTTGATTTCAACTTGTTCAAATGGATGGACTGGCCATTACTGGTACCAGCAGTACTAGAGAATGAAGAAATTCTGGCCTCAGTCCCAGAAAACCTTGTCAAAGAAGTTAAGAGACAAGCTGGTGATTTCCAATATGACACAGTTGCTGAAAGACTTGTGTTTACTGGGCCAAATGGAAACGAGTCTTCACCCTTTATCCCATTCTTGTACCATGCAGAATTACTTGATGTGCTTCATAAGGAGTATGGCCATCAGGGTGTCCATGGTATGCTTGACTTGCTCAGAGGATGGGGTTAGTACCCTGGACAACAAAAAGATTGTGAGACATATTGTCGGACATGTCCACAATATCAAATCTTCTCCAATCCAAGGAAATGACAGGAGTTTGAAGAACAACACCCGCTTCCACCAGTTGAACCATTTGAGCAATGGGGGATGGACTTCATCGGAATGCCAGAGACCAGAGACGGTCACAAGCATAAATGGATCTTGACGATGGTCGATCATGCCACGGGCTGGCCCATTGCAATTCCGATGCGAAAGGCCAGAGGCCAACGAGTTGCCGGGGAGATTTGGGACCAGATCGTTATGCACTATGGAGTGCCAAGTGAAATCCTCACGGACCGTGGAAAGAACTTCCTTGCTCCGGTTGTGTCTGAATTCCTGAAGATTGCAAAGATCAGACGGTTGACTACTTCAGGATATCATCCACGTACCAATGGGAAAACGGAGCGGTACAATGGGATCCTTGAGTCGTATCTCAAGAAGATGAATACCACAGGAGATCCGACTCGATGGAACGAATTTCTTGATGCTGCACTATTTGCAACTCGAGTCCGACAGCAAACCACAGCCAAGTGGTCACCATTTGAGTTGTTGTATGGTCGAAAGCCTCGGTTGCCATTTGACCAGCCACTTCTCCGTGCCCCAGATGCTGCACTCCCAGGGGATGCAGAGCACTCGGAACAGCACTTGCAAATGCAGAAGGCTCGAGAAGAAGCTTCAGAGCAAGGCACTATCCGTGCACTTGCAGACAAAGAGCGGTGGGATCACCAACTCAATATCGGGACGGAAGGTACACAGCAGCCTTTTGAGGTTGGTCAAAAGGTGCTGATCCGGAATGAAACTGCAAACAAGGGTGATGCACATTGTTTCGGACCATTTGTGATCACTACAAAACTGGATAAGGGAACCTATCAACTGAAGGATAGACGGGGACACTTACGACCAGGCTTGGTGAATGGAAACCGTCTTCGACTTGCTCATCTCCGAGAAGATGATACAAACCATCGGGCTTGGGTCTTGCCAAAGGCAACACAACGGCAGTGGTCGAAGGAAGACAAGGAAGCCGCTTCACAGGCGTCATTGCCGCTACCCAAGATTTCGTTACCGCCCTGTTGTCCGTGCCATGCCTTCAATACGAATTATCCGTCGCTTTGCCAATCCAAATACCGGGTCTGCACCAGTCACGGTTACAGAAGACAAAACCAGATCTGCACCAGTCACGGTTGCAGAAGACAAAGCCCAGTGTGCACCAGTCACGGTTGCAGAGGACGAATCACAGAATACACAGTGAACAGTTATGCCAAGATGGAGATCATGACCCATGGGTCAAGATCACGGAATTCCGCAAACTGTTCCAGTGAAACAAAGGCCACAGACTCGATTCTAAACCGATAACACAAACAATACCCCAAGACTGCAGGTCTTGGGTTACAATCCTCCAGACGGAGGTCCGATTCCCTCAACCTGAAGCCCCGGAGCAACCCAAACAGTCGCCTGCACAGATGTGCGAAGTTAGTAAATCCGATGCAAAAGGTGGTCCACTGATTGCATATGCATGTCCAGTCCTCCAGATGGAGGTCCAGAATGCAGTACACACCAGCCTTACCAGGACGCACCAAAACTCGAAGCAATCCCGGCAGACGACAGACACAGAGCAGAGCCAGAAAGCAAATTCCGTCTCAAAATCACAAAAACCCATCCATCCAGCCCAAGAACAGCTCAGATCAGCCCAGAAACCAGCCAGAATCATCTCCAGGACGCCTCAGAATGGTTGACAGTAGTTGACAGTGAGGAAGGAGTGAAGCAAGGGGCTGGATGGCACAGATTGCCCTGCAGCAGCATCGTGGTCGATGCTCAAGAGCTAGAGAGGGGATGGTGTCGAGTTTGCGCCAAGAGTGGCAGTGCAGGACCCTTGCGCAGCCTTAAGGCACCGGAATTT